AAGGCTGTCATCTTCAACATTCGGCAGTATGCTTTGAAACTATGATACAGACATGTATGGCAGTTAGTAACCCTTCACAATCAAAGACATCTCAACGACCTACTTCACTTACACTCATGCACTGTTGTGTAACGCTTCATGTTTAAATTTTTTTATTTTAGTAAGCAATGGTTTCATTAGTATTTTTTTTTTTAGTACACGGCGTTCAAGTTTACGTCGACTATTCTCTCAAGTTCTAAGCAGGTCATCGTAATTTGAAATAATTTAAGGATATGTCCCATGAAGAACAAGGGTGACTGGTTCTTAGGGGTGATTCAGTGATCAAGTTTGCCTTCTTGTTGTAATAGCCCTCTTTGAACTTCAAACCTCCGTCTCTCATTTCTTAAATTTTTGAAAACCTTATGTGACAATTTTCTATTAGGGGGTATATTATTTACTCTTACTAATATTATTGAATTAAAAATTAAATAATTTCCTTACACGTTATCTTCAATTTCACACATCGCCTCTTCTGTTCTAACAATTAGTTACAACCTAACCTAATATTATAAATTTCTGGACTTTTTTGGTTTTAATTACGTAAAATCTTGCTTGGAGTATAACTATTAGTCCATTCTTTAATTCTAATTTTTGTATAATTAGGATCACTTCTCAAGTTAGGTAATTGCCCTTGGATTGCTGCTTAAGCTTAACCAACTTTCCCTAGTCATGCACTATATTTGTCACTTCTAATAAATGTTCTTTTAAATGACTAATAATTTATAGTTGGAGTTCGAATTATTATTAAGTCATAAAATTAATATTCTGGCTATGACAGCTACTCCTCCCTAAGCACAACAATCAAAGTAAATTTTATTTCAATTGTCCATGCATAACATAAGTTACTACTTAGTTTTATAGAAGTGCTAGAGGTAATCCGTGCCTGAAAATACGGTACAATGTAAATAGTTTTGAGAGAGATGTTGGAGGCCGTTAGATGAGTTTATTTGAAACTGTTAGATGAGTCTATTTGAAGCCGTCGAATGAACTTATTTAAATATATTCTATTTTATATTATAGATTATAGATACATATCGTAACATATGAATTATAGAATTATTAGTCATAACCAGTGTCTGAAGGTACGATGAAATATAAAATTCAAGTATCCAAAAAATCTATCTCATTATATTAAATAACAGTTTTATTTTCTTCATTTCTTTGATTACATTATTTAAAATTTATTTTTACTCATTATCTTTTAAAAAATATCAATAAAATTTTCTCAACATGTGTATACTATCGTGTATGGATAATGCTTGAAATAAAAATTATGTTAAATTAATAAAAAATATAAATTAATCAAATATTAAATAATTGATGATGTGATTTTTTTTTGGAGGGGCAGAACATGTAACGGATAAAAACTCAAGTTGTTAGGTGTTTTATTATATATATATATATATATATAACAAAAATATAATAAAATTACTTTACTCTAAAAAATAAATAAATAAATTACTTTGAAAATTTATTTCACAAAGACAGAAAAAGATAAATGGGACCTTCATCTGTATAATCCAAATTACAGATTAAAGTCAGTTTTAAGCCATCCCAAATTTATTCAGTGGGGCTGCACATTAATCTCTCTCTTTCATTAATTGTATACAACAAAATCTTTGTTGCAAGCTGAGTAAAATAAATGAGGCTTGACATCCACCTGGGAAGAAAAGAATAAATTGAAAATGGAGGGTTGTTTTTGTGATTTATTTGCTGATTGCTCTATATATAAACCCATTTAGTTGGGGCAAAAAAAAAAAAAAAAAATTAAGTTGGTAGGGTCTTTCATCTTGCAATGCTCATTGCTTTATGCCAGAAACATTAGAAAATAAGCATCAATTATTATTTTTTTCCCCTTGCTATGAATTTTAGGCTCAAATTTTCACAATCAAAGCACAAGCCACATAGAGAACCCAGAATAAAAAAAACCTTTACTATGGGTTGGTGTGAGATCATAACAACTCATAGGCTGATAATCGAACTGAGTTATTCAGACTTAGCTCAAGTTCGACCCATTTTGGACTCTAATTTATTTTTTAAATGAGTTAAATTTGAACAATTTTTTAGATTTGTTTAAAAAAATCAGCATAGGATTATTCGCTCATTTTTAAAATAAGCTAAACTTGAATAATTTTTTAAACTTATTTTAAAAGAAACGAGTTCGACAATTTCAATTCGAATTAGCAAAATTCGGCTCGATTATCAGTCTTACTTACAACATTTCTCTTCTAATTTTTTACTCAAAAAATCATGATCGTGAAATTCATTATACAAAAATGAGTTTTACAATAATACATGGTAAACGATGTATCAAAAAAACGTAATAGACTAAAAAAAGTATGAGAATGAGTGATTATAATATATATATATATATATATATATATATATATATATATATATAAAAGAAGTGATGGAGATAATTTCATGATATGTGATGATACTGCATTATTTAATTGATCATTTGTCAAGAAGCTTTAATGTGTAGTGGGGTCGGTTGATGTTTCCTCTTAGTATCTACAGAAACCCTAGTTTAATGGTAAAGTATAGGAAAAGGTATAAAGAATATGTATGATTAGAATAATCAGCATATAGGCTTTTGGTATGTCTTTGGGTGTTTTTTGGGCATTTTATTATAATTGGGTGTTTGCACATCATATACACTTGTGCAACTAAAGTTGTTAGCCCCAACAAAGTTATACTATTTTATGTTAATTTTACACTAAGTATTAGAAAATGTTGTAATGGAAGATGTATGGATGTGTTTTTCCTTGTGGGAATTCCCTTTTCTTAAGCTGCTATTTTATAACTATTACAACTTTCGAATAAGACATTTATATTAGAGAGAGATAAACACATTCACATAGAGATAAGAAAAGTCTGAAAGATAATAGTACACATATTAGACTCCATAATTCTATACACGGCTCGTCAACTTGAAATGAAACCAATGTAAAGGTAGTTACTTTAAATTTAGTTTATACGACAGAAAATCTGTTGCTGATAGAGACTTGATTACAATATCGACAAAAGTAATTAGAGGTATAATATTAAAAAGTAACCATCAATATAATAAATAGAGGTATAATATCAAAAAAAAAAAATTTCTAATACCATAAACATGTCCCTGTTGATCGATACATTAAAACTTTCAAAGATAGGAATGTAAGAAATCAAAATCTTGATTTTGGTAAGAATTGGCCTAAACACAATCTTATAAGAATCAAGTGTGGACAACTAGACAAGAGCTAATTGGTTGAAAGAATGGGACTTTTTTATTCATGGTGTGTATAAATTTAAGATGTAGAGATATGGTGATTCAATGACAAATAATTAGAGGAATCATATTTCTTACATTCTAAAGTTTGTGACTTTTAATAATTCATCCTTGCTAAAGTTTTACTAACAATTTTTTTTCTGGGTATAATAGGCTCTACTTGTAGTCATAAAATAGATTTGGCAATTTTATTCCAAAAGTCTACATTTTATGTCAAAATTTGCTTACTCACTCTTTTTTTTTAATTGTCAGAGTATTCGGATCAGTTTATGCGTACCTTGTGTAATTCCTCCCCGATTCAGTCATAAACAGACCATCCATACCGGAACTAATGTATTAATGAGAGATAAATCTCTCGTGACCTAACTCCAACGAATTACTAAAATTTAAATTCAGAATGTCCGTGTTTATATCTCATTTTTATTATCACTTGAATTATCCTTTAGAGTTTCCCTCGCTCACTCAAATTAGTCAACGTAGTCATTTAGTTATGAGAAACTTTGAATATCATACTAATTAAATTTTTTGCTATTTTTTCTTCTGAAAAAAATACACTAATTATTAGTTTTATTACACAACTTATCATAATTCCTGTTTTGGTTGTTACAGTCTCAAAGTGGGTAAGTTTGGTTAAAGAAGAATGAAGTCTTATTCAAGAATTTTATAGGGCATATTTTTGTGATCATCCAATACTATATTAATTAAGAATGTTAAATTATAGTTTAGTAATTCTAAATATGATGAATTCAAACACAACCCAAATCCAAATACCCAAAAAAAAAAAAAAGAATGTGTAAACATAACATGATAAAGAGGAGACGATGGTTAATTATTATCTCCTAATAGAACTCATGCTCATGGTAAAAAGAAAGTATTAAAACAAAGGGAAGATAGGAAGGATTACCATTGTTCATTGACACTACTACCATTGTTCATTGATTGCATCCATGACCTAATTGGAGACTTTTGATGCTTCTTCTCTTCTTGTTGATGTTAGTCACACCCATCAAACAGTTATCTCCTAGTTCTACCATTTATAAACATTACCCGTTAATTTCATGTGAAATTTTATGTACAAAAACTATCGTTTTTATATTTTTTTAGCACAACATATTGGACCCATCTACCTTCCGACTTGATTACTTTTTTGGATTATTTATTATAAATTCAAATTCAAATGAAAAAAATATAATATGAAGAGGGTGATTTTTACTTTTGTAGGAAAATAAATCTATCCCTTATAATTTTTTATCGAGAATATCTCTTTTATTTACGTTACACTATTATTGTATTATAAGGGAGAGAGAAAGATAATATAATTTGAATTCACGACCTTAAGATCTAATGACTAGAAATCGACAACGCTAATTTTTTTCTACTGGAGAAATGAAATTAGGAAAAATTTGTTGCAATTAGGGTGGGATAAAAATAAGATGGTAGAAAGTAAAAAAAAAAAAATCGATCTACCTAAAGAGAAAATAAGAGGGAGATAATAAACATAAGTTTGGACAGTGGGTTATGATTGTCAACATAATAATTTTGTCGTCTTGTGGGAGAAGGGGAGCGTTTCTTCAGGTAATTTCTAAAGGAAAAGGGGGCTAAAACTGACATTTAACATGTACATGATAAAAATCAGGAATAAATAATGGAGAAAAAACGAGGCCCTGTAGGGTAGGTATAGGATAGGACAGCTTTGTATCTCTATCTTTCCTCTGTTACTTTCTCTCTCTCTCTGCCCTTCTCTCTCTCTCTCGCTCTCGCATATTCACAGAAGGGAGGTGAATCGTGCTGTTAATGGTACAAACCTGCTTTTTGGTGGAGAGAAGAACCTGATGCCCCTTTTGATGTGTGAGTGGGTGGTGCTGTTTTCTCATCAACTGTGTCTCTCTCTCTCTCTCTCTCTCCTTGTTTTCTAGTCTGCTATATCCGATACTTTTTCTTCCCTACGGCTCCATTTTCTCTCGCATTTTCCATTCAAAACTGTCCCAGAAAAAGCTCCAAAAGAAGGAGGTTTGTATCCGATATCAACCGATTTCTTTTATTTTGGGTTTTCTTTGACCTCAAACAGGTTTTTTTCTTGGGTATCAGTCTTCTTGATTCAGTGTCTCTTTGGGTTTTGAGCATTTTTCTTATTTTTTTTGTTCCGTTTTGGGTTTTTCTCGAGACCCAGTTTGATTGTACCTGAGATCCTGCCTCTCTTATGTTTTCTTCGAGATTTCTCGGTGAATACTTGTACTTGTGCACTAATTAATGTTTTTAGCTGCAATACAAACTGCATAAGTTTTGGAACTGGAGCTTCTTTTAATTTCTTCATCCGTTCACCGTGGTTTTTTTTTTTAGCTTCTTTTCAGCGTTCTAAGGGACGCGTTAGTCTTTCTCGTTTTCTTCAATCAGAATAAACAAATCTGGTCTTTGGGTTTACACTAGATTTTGCCATATATGGTCATATGCTACTGTTCACTCAGACGACTGAAGATTTGATTTTTGGGGTTTCTTCCAACTCTCTCAACTCTTTTACCCTGTATAATCTCTCTCCGGTGACGTTGATTTTGAGTTTGTGTTGTATCATATTTGCGTATTGAAGTGTGAGATTTTCTGTTCATCGTAGAAATCTTTCGGTTCTTCTCCTTCTGCTTGAAAACCCATCTTGATTTACTTTCTGTATATTTGTTTGAAAGAAGTGAGCAACTTCTTCTTAGTTGTTTTCCATCTGGTGAAGCTTTTCTATATTTATCTACTTTGTCTGGCCTTACCCACATAAAATAACGCTTCTTGAAGTTTGATCTTTAGACACATCTTTGCTTGTGGGTTTTGATCTTTTCCAATTTTGTTCTTTCCTTGTTCAATCAGCCTCTCAAATGTTTGTGATTATGAAGTACATATAGATTCTTCATAGTTACTCCTCCCAATCACATAAAATAACGTTCTGGAGGGGTCTAGAATCTTCTTGTTTTTCCTTGTTTCCTTACTTCTCCCTTGAAAAACCTGATCTTATGTTCACCTTCTCAAATCTTGCAGGCTGATAAATGAAGAAAAAGGCTGTGTTTATTAGTGGGTTTGTTTGATCTTATTGCTGAGTGGTGGGGTTTGGAGCTTGTGAGAGGCCTACTGTTATGCTGAAGGCTAAGTATAAGACAAGGCCTAGTTGTGGAGAAAGGAGTTGTTCTTGTGACTGTTGGCAAGACAGCACAAGAAGAGAGAAGCTTATCAGCAGATGTTATCCATTGAAAACCCTCTACCAGATCCGGCGTGTCCTTGTGAAATCTCACAACTGAAAAGTAGTGATGAGAGGGCTTCTGATAAGCTTGCGTTGCAAGAGGTAGATCTGTTCAAGTCAGGCCTCGATGACCACAACCCACTGCCCAAGTTCTCTATAAGGTAAACAAAAACTTTCAATTCTTTTCTGCTTTTACTTTGGTTGTTTTACCTTGGGATCTTTCTACCCATCTGAGATTTTCTTGTGTCACATCCACAGTTGTATGGTGCTGATTGTGATTCAGTCCACGATGGGGCTAGTCTCAGATTCCACCAAGCCCATCTTGTCTCTGATTTGTTCCTGCTTAATTTTAGCTTATTTACCTATTCTCAGCTGGTTGTGGCTTTTAGATAGTCTTCCATGTCTAGTAAAAGTTCTGGATTTTTTTCTGACCAGCTTAAGACTGTCAAATTTTAGCGGCTGTTCTGGATCATATTGTTTGTGGTGATTTTATGTCACTTTGTGTTTATACTAGATTCATTGATCTGAGGGTGGATTGTTCTACACCTCTTGCAAATCAGCCCCACTTTGTCCGACATTAAAGATATATCCCATATTTTGACCCCTAGCTATCTGTATTTTCTGTTTTGATTGGATCATAGGATTTCCTTGCTACTTTACATATTTGGCGTCGGATCTTCAAGCTAAATGTTTCTGTTTCTCTCTGATTCATGTCTTTCCATGAAAATCCATGGATCCATTTGTCTAGTTTTTCACAAATGATATTGGGTTCTCTTTACCTTCACAGCGCTTTCATTCGAACCATGTACAGTTATTTAAGTTGAAGCTGTATGTAATTAATGCTTGAGGTTGTACACACATGTTTGATCTAAATCATTTGAATAATTGGGTTTTTGTTGCAGAGACTATGTTTTTAGAGTCCGGAGCAAGGATATCAAGACGAACTGGCCTTTTACTCAGAAGAATTTGCAACTTTGTCTGAATCATGGCTTGACAGATTTGTTGCCGCCTTTCCAGCCTCTTGATCCTGTGAGAAGCCAATCCACAAAGAGATGCACAGTGGAATGTAGGTCACTTGACAATGAAACTATAAGCATTCCCAATGGTGAACCCTCTAGGCGAAGCAATAATCTTGGGTCACAGACTTCCGATGATGCTGGACGTAGCCAGAAGCTAGCAGTGGATTGTGTACATATAAATACAAGTGGATCTGACGGAGATAAAGAATTTCAATCGAAAGCAACTGTTCAATCTCCTTCTGAAATAGACTCAGTTCCCACAAATAGAAGCCCTTACTTGGAGCTAGAAACTGATACTTTGTTGGAATCCTTAGAAGCAAAAGTTGAGCCTGCAGCTCCTCCTGAATCTCACAAGATTGAAAGCACAGTTCGACACCCGGTTAAGAAGTGCAGATTGATTTTCAAATTGAGTAGCGTTGCTGATCCAAGCTCAAAGGAAGATAGTGCACCTACCAATCTTATGGTCTCAGAAACAATGGCTTCGAAAGTGTGCCCAGTTTGCAAGAATTTCTCCTCCTCTTCCAACACCACCTTGAATGCTCACATCGACCAGTGCCTTTCTGTTGCGTCAAATGTTAACTGGACCGCGAATTCTAAGGTGGTTAAGCATAGAATAAAACCAAGGAAGACAAGATTGATGGTGGATATCTATGCAACTGCCCCATACTGTACCTTAGAAGAGCTTGATAGAAGAAACGGAACAAACTGGGCCACAAACTCAAGTTTTCCTGCTCAAGAGATTGAGTTGTGTGCCGAAGAGGAAGAGCAGAAAGTTTCACCTGTTACTTTTGAGGACACTGATAATGAAGATGGAGTCTACATTGATGCTAACGGCACAAAAGTTCGGATATTATCGAAGTTTAGTAACGTGTCACCAGTGTTAAAATTAGCAGACAATCCTGGACCTTCAAAACTTTTGAAGGGAGGTAACGGAAGCAAATTCCTTTCAACCAAGAAGAAAAAGTCACATAAACATCGCGAGTTCTTGAAACTTGCTCCTCAAAGTAAAGCATTCGGGTCTCCCAAGCCTCGTGGTGGTTTTGAGGTATATGACTTTTGCTTCTAGTTTGTGCTTTTGGTTTTAACTGATGATAATTGTAGTTGGTCGTCCTTTTAACTGGCTATATTCTGTGTTAGTAGACCAAGGAAACTTGTTCAGTGGATGGTTTGCCAATAGATTCCTAGAAGAAGAATGACAGAATCTTAACTAATGTATTCATATGTCTCAACAATTGTTGTTTATCATGTGGTCTGAAACCATAAAAACTTAAAATGTTACATTTTGGGACTGAATGATTTCCCTGCATGATCCAATAAAGTTATATTGGTATCAGGTGCTGTGGCTTCAGTTTGATTCCTTAAAGTTGAGTCAAAGAAAGAACGATGCTGGATTTGTGTAACACAGATTTTTAAGTTTATGTTTCTTAGTCATGCTTTTTCTCTATACAGTTTGCCCTTCAATCAAAAGAATAAAATGCCTCCTTCAGTTTTGTTATAAAATCAAAAGTATAAATCCATTTTACTGCTGTAATTACCCATGTGGTGGTTAAATTTTTTATGAACAGGTTCTTTCTGGTCAGAAAAGAGATTTTGCTGCAGAGGTCAGACAGGAGAAAAATGGGCGCTGCACACAGCGCTTTAAGGCTCAAGAACAGCTCGAACTCAATGATCCAGGAACTATTAGACAATGGGTAGGTTCTAAGCGAAGTTGTCTCACAAAGAAGACCAGTGTTAAAGATGACCTTCAGCGCTCAAGGTATAATGTGACACAGGAATTGCTTGTTGAAAGTGATCAATGTCCTTTATATGTGGAGAGAAGCTGTGTTCCGAAATCCCCAACTGCATCTGAAAATCCAGTTTCTTCTCCGTTGAGCAACAAGAAAATCGAGACGTCGTCATATGAACCTCAGACAGATGAATATGAGGAACAGCCTGCTCCAAGAAAGAAAATTGGGTTTTCCTCTATGGGGTCTCGGGTACATGGAGATGGGAAGACGTCTCTTGTACTACCCAATCAGACCGTGAAGCAGTTGAGAAAAGATGGCACCTATTTGCGTGGTGGTTGCAAGGGTCATAAAAAACATACAGGAAAGCATGGGTCTTCTCCAAGCAACATGGAAGTTGAGATGAGTGCAGGTCCACCCAAAAGCTCTGATAGTTCTATTTTTGACTTAAAATTGTCAAACAGTCATCATGCACTTTCATCGAAAGCTAAGAAGTTCTCATCTTTGAGGAAGAATCTGTTGTCAGTCAACCAAGCATCTGTGCCTGAATGCAAATCTAATTTCAAGAGAAAAAGTTCAGCCCCTAAGAAGTCTCTGGTGCATTGCATATCAAAATTTGATAAAGATGTGGTGGCATGGCAATCTAAAGTGGACCAACAGCATGATTTGATTCAAAAGAAAACTGAGAAGCGGTCTCTTGGTACAACTGGAGTTCTGAAAATCAAAAAGAAGAGAATAGAAGTAAACATCTCTAGAGAGGAGGAAGCAATGTCTTTGAAGAGTTCGTCATTTGCACCCGAGTGTCATGGTAATGATGTGGGTGAAAACATAGATTCTTCTGCCAGAGTGAGCAGTGCTTTGGTAGATACATCAAATGATGTAGAACATGTTAGAAGTGAGGTTCAAACTCCTGGCAAGGATGATGTTACTGAACCAGTAGCCAGCATGGCCGTCAGAGAAAGTTTTATGGGTCTGGGCAAATCTTTACATCCGGGATTTCATGAGCTGGATAGTCCTGGTGCTCAATATGATTCTCTGCATGGGATCGAAGTATATAGGGGACGTTTTTGTGGAGCCGAAGCATCAATTTGTCCGAATGAGTCGGGTTTTGGTAATGGACATGGGATGATTTGTGGGGATGTAGTTGGTAATGTTGTGATTGGCGAGAACACTCATATGGAAACAGTATCGGACTCTAAAGATGGGGAAGGAAGTTACTTACCTGAGGTTGATCCAATTCTTATTCCTGGGCCGCCTGGATCCTATTTGCCTAGTCCTGGGGGTACAGACTCGGATGATCTTCAAGGAAATTCATCATTAACCACAAGCATGGTTCAATCTTCTGAAGATAACCATGATGTGGTTGATAGAGATTCTTCAGATTCTCCTATTTCTGAAACATCAACTGTCTCTAGCTCTGCTGTGGCAAGATCTGATTCAAAATCCTCAGAGCTGTCCGTAGGACAGCAGGCTGTCAAAGACGAGATCAGGACAAGCTTCTCAGGTGCTAGTGTCGATCCTAGTATGGAAAATTCTATCCCATTTCCACAGGCTGTTAACTTAGGAAAGGAAAAAATCAATCTAGAGGATTTGAGAACCAATGTGCTCTTAATCGATAAGGGGCCTCTCAGTTTCAAATATGATCAGCCATGCTGTTGCTCACGGAAGGAAGCAGCATCTCAGGGTTTCGCTTTAAATTATCAAGATTCACCACTTTTAAGGCGACGGACCACGGCTTCACTGCCATTGACTGCCTCCGGCAAGCAAATGATTTGTGATCCAAACACAAGACACAACAGTTTGAACTCGAGGTCTGAAATGTTTTCACTCAGCAACTACCCAACTTCAGCAACTGAAAAGGTGGCTATACCTACCTTGAAATCACCTGCTGGGCATGTTCCTGTGACAGTTTCTGCTGATTCTGAGGTAAAGTTCCCAATTGATGGTGATCATGATTCTGGCAGTCCATCTGTTTCAAATTCTGTTCTCAGGTTGATGGGGAAGAACTTAATGGTGGTCAACAAAGATGGAGATGCATCCCCAAAACTTAGACAGTCCCAGTCTCAGATGATGAATGACCACGCAAAGCCACAGTTTTGCTCGGTTTCTGGTGTCCCTCCTTGCAATGTTCAAAATAAGGGCTGCAATCCTGTAAATCATGTGGTTTCTCGAAGTTCTTTTGTGTTCAACCAGAATCAACTTAACACAGCAGTGCAACCTTTTGATGTTACGTTATCAAATAGTTCCAGAAGCCATGTTGATTTTAAGACACCACAAACAAATTCTCGTGCGTCAGAGGCCATGTTTTCTGTGGAGAATGTAGCTACCGGTTTTACAGCATCTTCAGATGGTCACGACTGCAAAGTTGGACCCACTTTGCCAACTGAACAAAATAGACCTGAGAACCGACTGGATCCATTGGTATATAATGTGGAGAAAATTGCTGCAACTCCTGCCTCTCAACACCGGAATGCAAATTCTACCTCCAATCCTGCTAAGGAGATAATCATCATTGATGATACTCCTGAAAGCGAAACTGATTTGGCCTCCGATGCAAACTTTAATTCAGGCGTGATAAACAGTTGGGAGGGTTCTTCAGCTGGCATGTCCATCCCAATGGCCTCCATATATAACTCAAGGCATGTGAATCCTTTTTATGGTTATCAGCCGCAGTTGTCTTCTCCCTACGGTGGATCACCAATGGTGTACAATGCAGGCTTCCAAATGTTAAATTCTGGGGGAGTGAATGTAGGTCCTGTTCGGTGGAATTGCACTGCCGAAGGTACACGCATACCACATCCGAGTTCTTTAACAGCTTCATCGTCTTCTACAGGTCATCGGAAATCCACATCCTATTATGCTCCAAGATTTGCATAAACAACAAGCTTTCCTTGGGATGGCGAATTCCTCAACGCAGGTGCAATACTGGGCTTGGTGGCAAATTAAGAAAGCCTGCAAAAGTTTGTAAAACGAGTTACTTGGTTTTCTTTCATAGACTTTCTGTTCATGGTAACTGATAGTTTTGGTGGATTTAAGCAGTTTTAGGCAACGAGAAAGGTTTCTGAAGACTAATGTGTAAGCAAGCAACCTTGGAATAATAAGTTACCTAAGGAAACATTTTCTTTTTTAAAGAGTTTATGAAGTTGAGCATTCATCTATATATATCATCAGTAATTAGGGCTGATTTTCACTTGTAGTATGTACATTATTCGCAGTTTCTGCTATGTTTGTCATCGAGATTGCTTGTACAAAAACAAGATCCATAGACCGAAGATGTCCTCTTTTTCTTTTCTATGCACTTTGTTAGGATGTGAAGTAGTAGAATATCCATTGGAACTCATTGCAGTTGCAGATGATCAGCAATGCCATGCTAAACTGATACATTGATGTTCTGTGCGGCATGTGTTTAGAATGAAGGGATTAATTTGAACGAGATCATAAGCCTGGTTTAAGTTTGGGATGGTTGCATGCAATAACGCGCCCCTCAAGAGTAATTTTTCATGAAAGAGAGAGCACCTCAAAACTGAGATGCGTTTGATGTGACCAGTAGGGTAGTAGATGTTTTATAAAGAGTCATCTTTATGTGACAGTAGTAATACTGAAACGGGACGTCCATGTATAATATTACATCAATCCCCAATTTGAAACTATGGTCGAATCCTCCATTTCTCTATCTCTAACAAAACTACTCCATGCAAAACAAAGTAATATATGTGAATTAATCAACAATCCAAAAACAGACTCTTGTGGACCCAGCTGGGATCACAACAGATATATTTTGCATGATGTATGTACGCCTCAGCTGTCTTGTTCATTGCATAAGTAAATGTGCTTCATCTTTATTCGAAGGCTGGCATAAGGACGGTAGAAGCTGGAGGGCCTTTTAATTGTTGGCTCTCTTCTTGCTCAGTTATGGTCTGTTCTGTATTATTGTATGTAATGAAAGGTAAGGTTTCCACTGAAAAACTCTCTCAAACCTCACATATGCTAAACGTGGGACCCTATTTGCAGAAATGACCCACAAGGAGCGTTAAAAGACATAAACTCCTCTCTCTCTCTCTCTCTCTCTATATATATATATATAGTACTTGGTTATTTCTTTGACCTTGTTCTTTTTCTTTTTGCCTTCCCTTTTGCTGCTTCTTTTTGTTCTTCCAAAGGCAGCATAGTAAGTTTATCCAGAGGGGTTTCAAAAACGCACGAAACTAGCTTTGCCAGAACATGAAATATAGCCGTTGCCAGGCCAGGTGATGCTATAAAGGGTACGGACTATTGTGCGTGTGTTTGTGTGTATGCGAGAGTGAGAGTGAGAGAGAGTCAAAAGGAGAGGTGGGTACAAGACAAACAGGTACAATTGGCCGTTGGATTACCAAAATCTTTTGCCATCGGATAACCTTAAATGGGGGGTGTACTATTTACTATGGGCACTCAGTAAACTGTTGCTTGCACTCCACTTCATTATTTATTTTGTGGGTTTGAATTTTAGGGTTATTCGTTTTTTAACCCTAAAGTTTTTTTGTTTTGTAGTGAATATATATATATATATATATTTATATCAGATGGATGACATGATATTGTTGTGGGTTTAATTGGTTGATGGAATATGTGTGGTGGAGTTTGCATGGTGACAGCTTAATAACTCATTTTAACTCTTAAAAAGACTGAATGCTCCAAAGTGGGCCACCCTTTGTCTTTCTCCTTTTCTTCATTATTATGCCCTTCCTGCCTTTCAATAACCCCAAACATTAAAATAATAAAAAGTGGCTTTATTATACTATGAGATTGATGACAAGTCTCCTCGAATCTTTTCTTTTCTCTCTCAATTACCCCCCTTCAAACTCTGTTTTTAAACTCTCCCCATGTATTATGAGGAGTATTATAATTGGAAAACTAAGCCTAACAAGATCAATTAGAGTAAGATGTTTTTAGATTGGCATGATCTTTAAGTGATTCCAATTTTTTTTACAAAAAAGAATGATTTGAGCTTTCACGATCACATTAAAAGTAAGTTATTCACGCCGAAATTAGAGTATTCACGAAAAATAAATTTTTCATAGTTTGATACTAAAGTATTGTCAAGATTCAAATTTATAACATCTGAATTTATAAATCGTCTTTTTTACTACTTAAACTACTTTTTAAAATTAATTAGCTAATAATAATGGTAGACTTCTCCACCCTTGTTTTAATAATTTACCTACCATTAGGTTTGTTAAGTAAACTTGGAGTTAGTTACTTTTCATTTCGCTAACTGGTAGGTGGTCCAAGACCCCTAGTTTTGGCTCCACACGTGTGATTGATGCTTCATGGGTCTAAACCACAAAAAAGGGATGAGTGTTGGGCCTTTATGCTGGACTTTCTATGCTCTCTCTGTAAGCTGAGCCCAAATTCGATGGTGAGAAATTTTCATTGGTGGACCATTCACGAGTTTAGGATGATTTTTGGACAATTTTGGGCCGGCCTTATATGTAGTTCCATCGGGCTTATAACCCCATTCCCGGATGTTACTCATTATGAAAAACAAAAGTCAATTTTTCTTCATCTGAAAATATAAAATAAAATCAAGTCAGTGGTGTCGTGTCAAATCGTATTCGTATCATATTATTTCGGGTTCGTATCGAAAATTAATTAACTCTATTTAAATATATGAATTTCATATTATTTGTGTTTAACACCAACCCAACTAATTTATTATTCCTGTTATATACAGTTTCATATTAAGAAATGATTTAACTTTAACACGCTAATTTATTATTGATTTTGAATCGTCTTTTTATGTTATGTCAAAAATTATCACCCCTATAAGTTGATGAACTGATTTTCAACTATAAAACTCTTTCATTAGTAGTAGATAATCTATAAAAAAAATTTAAAAGAAAAATAAATTGAGAGAATTTGGTTTCTTTTGAATGAACCAATAGAGTAAATATTAAATATAACAGTAATATTATGTCACCATTGATGATATGGTATCACCAATCAATAATAAAATCTCAAATAATAAAGGTAAATCTCACTTGAGCTTGCATGACAGAAAGGTAGAAAATTATTTGTTTATACGACATGTTAGTTATAAATTTTTGTGGGGTCCATCTGCTTATCTGTTTTAGTATTATTGGTTGGTGATACCATATTATTTTGCCACATAATATCACCGTTGTAACGAATATTTTAAGAGAATCAATGAGAAAAAGGAAAAAAAAAGAAAAAAAATATACAACCCAAATCTGTAACCCAAATTTATACCTCAAATAAATGAGGACCATTGGATAAGTGGATTTCATAAACTTTTTTAAATGAGATCCATTAATCCAATGATCCCCTGAGAAAATATTCATTATAACGGTGATACGATGTGATAAGGTGATGTGGTATCACCAACTAACAGTACTAAAACAAATAAGTAAATGGAACCCACAAAAATCAATAACTAATATGTCATGTAAACAAATAATTTTTCACCCTCCTGTCATATAAGTCCAAATGAGATTCATCTTTTTCACTTGAAATTTTATTATTAACATGTGATATTATGTCATCAATAGTGACATAACATCACCGTCGCATTATCTCCCTCGTTTGAAATATAAATTTGAGTTACAGATTTTGGTTAAATAGCGTTGCACAAAGAAAAAAGTAGTGATTTTTAAGTGTCGACGTGGCAACACCTTATTGAGCACATTTCCACAACTCCTTCTGAGGTTCAACGTAGAAAATCAGAATTTCCAAACCCGACAGTCTTTAACCTAAACCGACACATCACGAGACGAGGAATGGTTGTTGCGGGGTTGTAATCAAACTGGTCAAAAGTATTCCACGGCTACAATGCTGTCACCAAGCGCCGCCACCGCTACCACTACGATCTACACAACCATTCCAATCTCCGGCACTGACGTCATTTCCCGATCATTCCAAAACGTATCTACCTTCCTCTCACGTAGCCGTCCTTGGCCGGAATTTTTCCCCGCCGTCGGCAACTTCGACCACCCTGGCTCACTCTCCGGGGCCGGACTCCGACTCAAACTCAACTCCAAGTACTTCATCGTGAACTATGCTATCATAATCTTCACCTGCGCTACCTTCTCTCTCATCGGCGTGCCGATCGCGCTGATCGTATATGGTTTGATCTTCTTGCTGTGGCTAGTACTGTATATCTTTCGTGAAGACCCGATGGCTATGTGGGGTCACCACGTGAGTGATCGAGTCGTGACTGTAGGCCTGATCTTGGTCTCGGCGGTGGCTGTTTGGTTCACAGGGGCTTTGACCAATTTGGTAATGGGCACTGGTGCTGGGGTTTTGATTTCGGCTATACATGGAGTCCTGAGAAATCCAGAAGGGTTATTTCTTGATGAAAGCGATGCCATCTCTAACGGGTTGATTGGTTCAAGACCCAGACCAGAGAATTGTCAGAGAGCTGATTTTTCGAATTAGTATTGATTCATTTGGCCCATTCAACTCATTGTTTCTGTGATAATTTTGATCAAAATTCTAACTTCACGAGAAGAAACAAAGAATAGTTAATTTTTATTTTTTGGTGGTTGTTGTTGTTGTTATTGTTGAAGCTTGTCCTTGGAAATAGAGGGAGGGTGGAATTGTTTATGTGTGGGGTTTAATTTGTGGTTTGTAATGTTCTTTTATTTGATTGCTTTCGTTTTGTCAGCAATGCGAGTGCTAAAGATTGTTGGTGTCTCTTAATTTTTATCAATTGGGTTTGTTGTATTTGACTGATTTCTGTTGATTCAATGAGAAGATTGAATTTGTTTTTAGTTAGTTCTAGTTGAGTCATTTGTGTTGATTGGCCTAGTGATATGATTCTTGAACTATCAAACATTATGAAAATGAGACATTAGATTATCATGGATAACAAAAAATTAAGATTGTTTCAGTAAAATACAATTTCAGGTCTAATCTGTCTGTTTCACTGACTTTTTTGTAGGTTGATTGCATGGCAAGATTGTATTGAGCAAAGTCAATGACCCTGTAACTTTAAACTCGTTTAATTCTATTCTTGGATGTTATGGGGAAAGCTGATGACTTTGCTTTCAGCTAAGTTGAAAAGGGTACCAGTTTAACTGAAATTAGTGTCATGCATTCATGTCAAACAAGATCAAGACCAAATTGTTTTTTTTTTTCCTTTTTTGTAAAAGGTTAACTAGTGAATTGACCGGATATAGTGTAAGCAAAAACTGAGCTACCCAAGTTTGAGGATCATATTTTGTCATCCATACTAACAGCTTCACTAATGTTTCTGAGGAGGGGTGATTGAAGCTCTGAGAGCATGCTAGCACTTCCAAGTGAAGCAACT